TAAAAAATAATAAAAATTAAAAATCTTTAGAAAAAATAAATATTAGCCAGGGGTGGTGGCACATGGCTTTAAATCCCATCACTTGGGAGGCAGAGGCAAGCTGATCTTTGTGAGTTCAAGGTCAGCCTGGTCTACATAGTGAGTTCCAGGCCAGCTAGGTCTACAGGGAGATCCTGTTTCAAGAAAACCAAAAAAAAAAAAAAAATGTGGGTTGGAGGGAATGACTCCATGAATAAGAGTGCTTGCTCTGCAAGCATGAGGATTTGAGTTGGAATCTTTAGTATACAGGTTAAAAACTGGGCGTGGTTGTACATTCCTGTAACTCCAGCATGGGTAGGCAGAGGCAGGTGGATCCCAAGAGCCCCTGGCTAGCCAACCTAGCCAAAGACAAGCTTCTAGTTCAGTGAGAGACCCTGTTTCAAGGTAGTAAAATGATAGTGGAAGAAACCCAACATGCTGCTCTGGCCCTCTGCATGTGCACACACTTGAGTGCACATACTTGTGCACTCACATGTATGCACACAAACACGTCATTCACAAATACACACCACACATAAAAACTAAAATAGAAATAAACTTCTGTCATGGCATAAAGTCTATATAGAATTCTTTTAAAGTATTTACCACTAGACTTATTTATACTGAATCATAACCTCTGCCTTGTAGAACTTCTTTTCCTGTCCACTGTGACAGTTACAAGTTGGTCATGTTGTTCCTATACTTTGTACCTTGGCTATAGTTCAGGTATGTTGTTCATCCCTCATAGGAATTTACACTGTAAGGTAACCAGACAGATTTCATAGTTAGACTAAGAAGTGGTATTTCTTAAAAGTTAAAAATCCTCCATTTTTTCTGTCCTCTACCTCTCTAATGATTTGCTGTATCTTACCCCACACCATGCCTGGACCAATAAGATGTTCACTCTTAGGGCAGTGTAGGCTCTTCTTTCTGGAAAGGAGCTTCTGGAGTGGGACAAGAGCTGGGTAATGATAGTTGTGCCTCAAAGGGCAGGTTTTGGCTGAAAACCTTTTAAATTGTTTTTTAATTTCAAAAATAAGGGGCTGGGGAAATGCTTGCCAAGCAAGCATGAGGACCTATGTTTTAGATCTCCAACACCTACATAAAAAAAGCCAGGCACAGCTGCATGTGCCTCTTATCTCAGTACCGGGGAGGCAGGTCCCTGGGACTTGCTAGCCAGCCAGTCTCACTGAATTGGTGAACTCCAGGTACAGGGAGAGACTGCCTCAAAGAACTAGGTGGAAGAGCTAGAGCAGTTGGCTCAGCAGTTGAGTGAATATTCCTCTTGCAAAGGACCAGGGTTGGGTTCTCAGCACCCACATTGGTCACCACGCCTAACAAAGTAATTATTGTTGTGAGATGGACTCCATGTAGTAAATCTATGGTGTGGAAGTTATGTGCTTCAAATTTTGGCACAGTGTTCTCAGTTTTTTTGGACAGAGACTACTCACTCCAGTGTTCTCTAAATATTGTGTCAATTGACATTGGGAAGTGAAATTTAAATGATTAAATGCCGGGGGTTCGAACCAGCAACCCCCAGTGCAGTGATGATTGGGGATGAGTAAGCACGCCGTTCGCCAGCCCACGCCATCCCCAGTACCGGGGACACTCAGACGCAACAGGGAGTCTAGTCAAGCAGGGATTCATTTATTACAGGTATTACAGAGCTTATAAAGGCACCTGGAACTCTCCCCTCCCCCCCGAGGGTGTATCTTAAGGATGGTCACCGTGCTCCACTCCTCAGCAGTGTGGAAGTATTCTTCACACTTTCAAAGCAAGCCAGGCCGCACACCCTATGCAAGGTGGGGCCTTTAGGTCCCCACAATTAAAAAGACTCACTACATAGAATTCATTCTCTCTCTTCTGTACTTTGTAGAAAGGAGGAAGAGGAGCGAAGGCGCCGTGAAGAGGAAGAACGCGAACGCCTTCAGAAGGAGGAGGAGAAACGTAGGTGTGAAGAGGAGGAGAGGCTTAGAAGGGAGGAAGAAGAGAGGAGGCGAATAGAGGAAGAGAGGCTTCGGTTGGAACAGCAGAAGTAAGCTTGTTGCATGGATTCCACTTTAAATGAGAAATGGACACCGTACTGTTGTACCTGGGCTTTACTTCCTGTGCCGTGGATGATTCTGTGATTGTGCCTGGGAGGTAGATTAGTATGTTAGCTCTTCGTTTTTACTAGTGATGCTTTTTTCTTTTTTTTTTTTTTTTTTTCGGTCTTTTTGAGACAGGGTCCTCCTGTAGCCAAAAGTGGCCTGGAACTAGGTATATAGACCAGGCTGGCCTCAATCTCACAGAGATCTTCCTGCCTTTGCCTCCTATGTGCTGGGATTCAAGGTGTGGATTACCACACCCAGCTAGTGATTTTTTTTTTTTTTTTTTTTTTTTTTTAATTCAAAGAGTAACTTATTGAAAAAATTTGGGATTAGCTTATAAAATCTAGAGACTAGAAGCCACAACTCAAAGTGCTTGGTGCTCTGTCTCTGAGTCCACATCATCTCTTACCTTCTTGGCTTATCTCTTCATTCTTCCTGCAGTCTGTAGGTTCCGTCTCCTTAGTCATACACAAGGCTATTTGACCTGGGAGTTTTGTGATCTCTTTTTCTATGCATCTGACAGACTAGCTAGAATCTGAGACTCAGTTAAAAATTCTCATGATAGAGAACCTAGTTGACCCAAGTAGTCATTTTGTGAAAGCAACTGTCTCAGAAGGAACTGGCTTTTCAAAAGGGGACTGTAGCTTCAAAAAGGAAGTGTTTGGTCCCCTTAAACACAAGGAAGAAGGCCTAGGATTCTGAGGTTAAATCAGAGAACTTACAGCATCATGGTGATCTAGTGTGGTCTCTGGAACCACACCATCTAGATTTATGTTCTGGCTCTAGCATCTGCCTGCAGTACAATCTCAGGCAAATTAATAGGCAGTGTGATAGTGATGTTGTAAGGCAGTGGGTTGGTATATATAAATGCTTTAAACATTGCATGGCACATAGAAAGGGCACAGTAAAAGTTAATGATGGTGATGGTGGTGGTGAAGTCCTTAGTATTCACCCCCAATTGACATTGAAGAACCAAATTTGCCTTGAAAAAACATAAGTAAAAAGTTAGATGCAAGACTTATAAAAACATCTTCTGGGCCTAAAACACATGCTTTTTGGTATATTACTAGCTTAATCAATTTTAAGTTATAAACTATAAAACTGAATAACAAGGACAATTTATTTGTTATGATCAGTCTCCTGTAGTCAGACTAGCATGTGTTTGTTAATGTTTTTTAGGCAGCAGATAATGGCAGCTTTAAACTCCCAGACTGCCGTGCAATTCCAGCAGTATGCAGCGCAGCAGTATCCAGGGAACTACGAACAACAGCAGATTCTCATCCGTCAGCTGCAGGAGCAGCATTATCAGCAGTATATGCAACAGTTGTATCAAGTCCAACTTGCCCAGCAACAGGTATGATAGCCAACCCAAGAATTCAGCTTCAGAGAAGGTGTTGTGTTTCATTGGAACAAGGTTCTTTCCTAACAGTTGCCAATGAATTTTGTATTAGCTTCTCAGGTATAAAGTTACTTTTTTGGTGATCTTTTAGACAGACTTGAGCATTGCATAGGCAGTTACAAGAGAAAATGCATGCCATTGAAGCAACAAATGATGTGGTCACTTTTATATTCTTATAAGGATACGTTGTGTGGGAGTTTGGTAGGCCTACTGTGATAACAATGAGTCTGTTATAGACTGTAATAGTGACCCTGGAACTGTGCCAACCTGGGTAGCTAGTCTTAGTTTAAGAACTCCTTCATGCAGATCAAGCACTGTCAGGACCAGACAGCTTGAGAGGATGGATTCTCCTCCCCTAAGACCATTGGTTGGTTCCTCAAAGCTGGGCTAGACCCATTACAGTGCTCATGATAGCACAGACTCATTCTTCTCCTACACCCAACCCAGAATAACTTGTTTTCAGCATAGGAGGTAATTTAAGTGAAAGACATGGAACTAGGTGTCAGGTTACACTTGGATTCTCTCCTGGCTTTACCATTATCATTTGATTTTCTGACATGTTACTACCTCTCTGATTTCCTGCTTTTTCTCTCATTCTTTGAGAATGAGATGCAAGATCAAGGTTCCTATGCTATTAACCTCATAGGATTATAAACGAAAATAAAATAATAACTGGCCTGGTGGTATCAGCCTATAATCAAATGAGTGGGGCAGAAGATTAAGAGTTTAGGCCAGTTGGGCGACTTAGAAAGACCCTATTGCCAAATAAAAAGTTCTTTGAAAAAAGAGCTGAAGATGTAACTCAGTGCTGAAATCATAGGTGTGCACCACTGAGCCTTCTTTGGAGATACCAAGTCTACAAAATTATTACAATTATTTTTTATTTTCTTTCAGAGAAACCTCTGTGCTTCAGAACTCAGTTATATAACCACTTAACAGAGGCTTCAAAACCATTTATTAAGAAATGAAAAGATGGGCTGGAGAGATGGCTCAGTGGTTAAGAACATTGACTGCTCTCGCAGAGGACACATAACTCAGTGGTGCACACCTGTGATTCCAGCTCCCAAAACCTGTCCTTGTGCCTGCATCACACACACACCATACAATGATAATAAGTATTTGATGATGATAAGTATTCAGTGATAATAGGTGTTCAGTGATAATAAGCACAATTTTTTAGAAAGGTAGAAAATTACAAAATAAAACGACCCCTCCTCCAATCTTGGCAATCAGGGAGAAGTTAAAAGGCTGCATAGGTTTTGTGTAACCCACAAGAGGACAGAAGATATTCTAAACAAGAGTTTAATAGTATTTTTCTCCTCTGTAGCCTGTTTCTACTTTAATATATTACTTTCCCTCTCCTTTTTTTTCTTTCTTTTTTGATAGGCATTGAGAAAGTTTAATGAGATTGCTGATGCATACTGTACTGTTCATAGGTTGCTATCACTTATGAGAAGATCAATCTAGTAGGGAAAATCCAAGACATGGAATTAGAAAGTCACAATTGGGATTAGTGTGGTCAACGCTATCATATTGCTTGCATCCAGGAATAGGTACAGTAGGCTACCTGAGAATTCAGCCTTAGGAGGGTATTTAATTTCATTACAATTCAAGTTATTTTTAACCTTTACCAATGAATTTTGCATAAGGGGAAGGAAGAAAGTTAATTTTACCCCTCTAAAGTATTAATTTTTACATAAATACTGAGCAAAAGGACACTTGTTCTTTGGAGGATATTGTTATCTAGGTATGTGTTTATTACGTCGTTCCTATTCCTTTTTGTGCTTTTGTTGTTTTTAAAACAGGGTGTGATGTATCCCAGGCTGACCTCAAACCACTGATCTTCCTACCTCCACCTCCCAAATGCTGGGATTTCAAACAGGTACCACCATACCCAGATCTTTCTGTGCTTTTTATTTATTTATTTTTATTTTTATTATTATTATTGGTCTTTTTTTTTTGAGACAGAGTCTCCCTGTAGCCCCAGCTGGCCTAGAACTTACTTTGTAGACCAGGCTGGTCTTGAACTCACAGAGATCCACCTGCTTCTACCAGTGCTGAGATTAAAGGCGTGTGCCACCATGCCCGGCTATAATGTGGTATTCTTTATGTTTTTTATTCAACACTAATTTTGTAAGGCCTAGCTATAATTGCAAATAACTATATTTTGTTGTTTTTTATTACTATGGAATACTGTACTGTGAAAATATAAAATTTACCCATTCAATTGTTCATGAGCATAAACACTTAATTTTAGCCAAAAGGCCAAGAAATGGTGTAGGAGGAAGTGTGGCTTGAACAACCAGCACATGCGCACTGCAAACGCACCAAAAACATCCGGTTGAGTTGAACCTGTATTCTGCCAAAGGACATAAAGACGGTTGACGCAAGATAGCTCGACACAGAGAGCCAATGAGGATCAGACACAACCCAAGAAGGCCTACTGGGGCCAATGGGACATTGGGAGAGGGGTATATAAGGCAGTCCCATATCCATAATAAAATGAGTCTGCGCTTCTTGCCTAGTGCCTTCTTCCACCCGACTCCCGGTGTCTGTGTGTTGACTCTGCACTGCTTACCTCCTCCTGGCTGGGATGCTGAGTCTCCCCTAGGCTGGACCTGCAGGGAGACTGTAACAAAATGGCACCTTTTTTTTTTTTTTTTGGTCTTTTTGAGACAGGGTCTCCCTGTAGCTTCAATTGGCCTGAAACTCACTATGTAGACCAGGCTGGCCTCGATCTCACAGAGATCCACCTGCCTCTGCCTCCCGAGTGCTGGGTCTAAAGGCATGCACCACCATGTCCAGCATGAGAGATGATACTTTTTAAACAAAAACATTAAGTCACAAGAAAACATATGTTCACAGCTATTAATATGGGAGAAACATTTACAATCTCATAGCTTAGGGACAACATATGTTGGCCTATCTGTACATGTAAGTCATATAATATATCATTTATAAAGGAACAGTAACACCTCTTTCTGCTGCTACATAAAACACTTAAGATTTTAAAATACATTTGCCCAAGGCCTAGATTCTAAATCACTTCCAATGTCAGTATTTTTTAGAAAAACACCAGCTGTCAAAAAAGAAAGAATTCTTGGAGCTCAGCATTTCTTTAAACTCTCTAGTAAAATCAATGAACTCTCTTCTCTGGGATCCCACTGCCCAGAATATATCTATTAGATACAGCAGGATAGAATTATTTACACAACTCATTTGGGTTCCCAAATAGGTGTTCTTTAGATTAATGGTGTTTTTACTCTCCCATTTTGACTCAGAGGACATTCTTTTTAAACATGTTACTATTACTTTTACATGGGGAGGAGATGAATGTGCCAAGGCATGCATGTAGAAGTGGGAGAACAGCTTGCCAGAGGCAGTTCTCTCCTTTCACTGTGAAGGTTCTGGGGTCTGACACGTTGGCAGACTTGGCAGCAAGCACCTTTACACATTGTCCTAGCTTCATTTCTGTTGCTGTGCTGAAATACCCTGACAGTAAGCAACTTGAGGGAGAAAGGATGTATTTTAGCTCACAGTTTCAATTTACTGTCCCATCCCTCTGGAAGTCACAGAAGCAGGAACCTGACCCAGCCCATCTTATCATATCCACAGTCAGGAGCAGAGAGAAATGAATGTATATGTGCTGCTTGCTTGTTTGCTCACTTGTCTGTGTGCAGCTGAATTTCTCCACTCTACACAGTTCAGAACCCCCTGGCCTAGGGGGTAATACTGCCTACAGTGGGGTGGGCTGGGTCTTCCCACATCAGTTAAGACAGTCTCCCACAGACATGCACAAAGGCCAACCCAATATAGACAGTGACTCATTGAGAAATTTTCCACAGGTGATTCTAGGCTGTATCAAGTTGGCAATTAAAATTATCATACCCACTGGGTCATCTTGCCAGCCCTCAGAAGATATTTTTATTACATATTTGCGAATACACATTTTAATCCCAAGTGATGTAAATTTTTATGTGTATGAGTGTTTTGCCTATATGTATGTGTACACGTGAACCTGGTGCCTGCAGAGACTAGAAGAGGGCCTCAGTTCCTGGAACTGGCATTACAGGAGGTTGTAAGCCACTGTGTATGGGAATCAAATATCTTCCTGTCATACTGTCTTAGTTACTTTCTATTGCTGTGATAAAAACACTGACCATACCAGCTTGGGGGAGGAAAGGGATTTATTTCAGCTTGCAGTACAGACCTTCAGTTAGGGAAGCCGGGGCAAAAGTTCAAGCAGGAACCTGGAGGCAGAAGCCGAAGCATAAGCTATGGAGGAACCTGCTAATGGCCCATGCTCAGCCTGCACAGGACCACCTGTCTAGGGGTGGCATCGCCTATAGTGGGCTGGGCCCTTCCACATCACTCTACACTCTACAGTCAAGAAAATGCTCCACAGGCCAGTCCAATGGAGAAAATTCCTCAATTGGGAGGTTCCCTCTACTTAGATGTATCAAGTTGACAATTGAAGTGATCCAGCACACACACTGAAAAATGAAACTATGGTCTTGCATATTCTAAGCCAGAGCTTCTTGGGGGTGCTTTTTGAGACATGGTCTCCCTGTAACCCTAGCTGGCCCGAAACTCAGTTTGTAGACCAGGCTGGCCTTAAACTCACAGAGATCTGCCTGCCTCTGCTTCCCAAGTGCTGGGACTAAAGGCATGCACCACCATGCCAGCAAGCCAGAGCTTCTTAAAGTTTTCTATTCACTACACTTTTCACTTGAGAAAAGTTTGTGTGGCTTCAGTTTAAAAATCAGATTTCGATGGCTCAGCGGTTAAAAGCACTGACTGCTTTTGCAGAGGACCCGGGTTCTATTCCCAGTACCCACATGGCGGCTATGAACTGTCCTTAACTCCAGTTCCAGGGGAATCCGAAGCCCTCCTCTGACCTCCAAGGTATTGCGTAACACAGGTGCATTCACATACATGCAGGCAATATATGCATACACATAAAATAAAAATAGAATATTTTTTAAAAATCAGATTTCATAAAGAAATTTGTTTTAAAACAACTCTTTGATAATACTTATGATTTAACACTTATTAAAGAGGAAAGCAACCTTGCATACTAATGATAGATGAATGTGCTTGTTTTATTTATTTTTATTTATTTTTGTCTTTTTGAGACAAGGTCTCCCTGTAGCCCCAGCTGGCCTGGAACTCACTCTATAGACCAGGGTGCCTCAAACTCTGTGTGCGCCACCGTGCCTGGCTCTGCCTGTTTTGTTTTTTCATTTATTTATTTATTTATTTTTTTTTTATTTTTTTTATTTATTTATTTTTTGGTCTTTTTTGAGAAAGATCTCCCTGTAGCCCTAGCTGTCCTGGAACTCACTATGTGGACCAGGCTGACCTTGAACTCACAGAGATCTGCCTGCCTCTGCCTCCCAAGTGCTGGGATTAAAGGTGTGTGCCACCATGCTCCGCCTTGTTTGTTGTTTTTATTTCTTTTTATTTTTTGGTCTTTTTGAGACAGGGTCTCCCTCTAGTCCCAGCTATCCTGGAACTCACTATGTAGACCAGGCTGGCCTTGAACTCCCAGAGATCTGCCTGCCTCTGCGTCCCGAGTGCTGGGATTAAAGGCATGCACCACCATGCCCAGCCTTGTTTATTTTATTTTTATGTAAAGAAGTTGTGGGGCAGTGAGATGGTTCAGCAAGTAAAGATACTTGCCACCAAGCCTGAAAATCTGGGACCCACATGATGGAAGGAGAGAACAGGCTCAGATAATTTGTTCTCTGACCTCCACACATGCACTATAGCATATACACACTGATACACACAAATAAGTGTAAAAACTTTTTAAAAAATTTTTTTATTGAATTTTTGTGTATTTCACACATAAAGTCATCTTTACACCCCCTTCCCCTTTGACACCCTCCCATACCCCCCCCAAAGAGGTCATACATTCTGTCATTTGTATTAAGACCTATTATGTAAAGTTCATCCGCCAGGGTTTAGTCAGCCCATCTAGTCTCTCCCAAGAAGATCAGCTCTTCCTTACCCAGCAGTAATCACCTGCCAATAATTCTTTGACTAAGATTGGGGCTTGCTATTCATTTCCACAGTTCTGTGCTGGGTTTTTGTCTGCCTGAGTTTGTATGAGTCTTGTGCATGCTGACGTCATTGCTGTAGGTTTGTATGAGAAGAGTCTCAGGCACCTATACAACTATTTCCGTATGGTCCTGCACCTCCTCCCTGGCTCTTAACAATATTTCTTCCCCCTCTTCTGCAATGGGCTCTGAACCCTGGGTGGGTGGACCTCAATATAGGAGTCCTGTCCAAGGACCCACTCTGCTGACTCTTATTCTCTGCGTTTTGGCCATCTGTAGCCTTTTGTGTTCCTGGCCCTCTGTTGCATGAGGGAGCTTCATTGATGAGAACCAAAAGATACATTAATGTTCTCTTCATCCCTTGTTCTATGCTTAAGTCTTAGGTGTAGAGGTTGCATCCTGGATGTGCCACTTAAGCTTGGGCAATTCACAGAGAATCTCTGTGTGACCAGTGGTATAACTCTGTAATAATCTCTGTTGAAAAAAGCTACTTTGATGGGTAGTGACTGGTATCTTTTTAAAGAATTAACTTGTGTGGGCTGGGCCTGCAGCTCAGTTGGTAGAGTAGCTGCATGCACAAGGCCCTGAGTCTGATGCCTAGTGCTTCATAAATCAGGCATGGTGTTGAATTCCTCTAATTTTGGCTCTCTGGAAAATCAAGAGTTTGTTGTCCTTGACTCCACTGAAAGTTTGAGACCCTGTCTCAAAAACAAATGTGCTGGCAAGGTGATTTATTAAGTAAATGTACCTGCCACCAAGCTTGACAAACCTGAGTTTGATTCCAGGGACCCACATGATAGAAGGAAAGAACTGACTCCTGCAGGTTGTCCTGTTCTCCATACATGTGCTGTGCCATATACACATAGTCACACTATCAATCAATGTAAATAAAAAATTTTTTTTTTTTTTTTTTTTTTGTCTTTTTTGAGACAGGGTCTCCTTGTAGCCCCAGCTGGCCTGGAACTCGCTATGTAGACCAGACTGGCCTTGAACTCATAGAGATCCACCTGCCTTTGCCTTCCGACTGCTGGGATTAAAGGCATGCGCCACCACACCCGGCTCAATGTAAAATTTTTTAAAACACACAAAGAAAAACTAAATCTTGAGCAACTTAATCAGTAAAGTACTTGCCACACAAACATGAGGACCTGAGTTTAGATCCTTAGTACCCATGTAAAAGCCTCTGCAATGTCATGTATCTGTAACCACAGAACTGGGGTATGGGACAGAAACAGGTAGATCCCTGGAGCTCATTGACCAACTAGCCTAGCCATATCAATTTCAGGTTTAGTGAAAGAGTCTGTCTCAGAAAATATGCTGTGAGTGGTGATAGACACCCTTAGTCCCAGCACTTAGGAGGCAGATGAAGGCAGATCTCTGAGTTCCTGGCTAGCCTGGTCTACATAGTGAGTTCCAGGCCAGCATAGTTAGACCCTGTCTCAAAAATAATAATAGGATGGAGAGCAGTAAGGAGCATACCTAATGTTAACCTCTGGCCTCTGCACACATACACAGAAAAAGAATTAGATTTTGGCTGAATGTTTGATCCTGCAGGCCATTGAGCATTTTCAATATTTTTCAGAGTTGATCAGTCGTGTTTCTGTTTTGTCATCATCAATGCTGAGAATACCACTTAGCATAGATATATAGTACAAGATGGCAGCCATATGGTTCCAACCTTTTCAGAGATTGTTGAAAATTCAGACCTAATACGGAATTCAGTTAACAATTTTTTTCTTAATGAAACTCAAAATCAGCAATCCAAACAAGCAATTTTTATTTTTTTATTTTATTTTTTTTGAGGACAGGGCCTCACTATATAGCCCTGGCAGCCTGGAACTCAACTATGTAGACCAGCCTGGCCTTGATCTCTCAGAGATCCGCCTACTTCTGCCTCTTAAGTGCTGCACCACACGCCTGGCTTCTTTCAATTCTAAGAATATATGTTAGTACATTCAATTTCCCTTTACTAGCTTTGAGATTAGTTAATTATTTTTAGCTATCAGTTGGTATTATATTAATGTTACAGATAGGATAAAAACTGGTTAAAGTTTATAGTAATTCCTTACAACAAAATGCTTTCGTGTAGAGCAAAAGCATGGAGTCAGACTTCACTCCCAGGCACTATCTCATTTGTTAGCCTTCTAGTCAGAGTATCTTCACTTTCTCTCAATTTGTAGGCAGCATTACAGAAGCAGCAAGAAGTAGCCGTGGCTGGGGCTTCTTTGCCTACATCATCAAAAATGAATGTGACTGCAGCAGGTGATAGGAAGTCAATTAATGGACAGGCCAAAACCCACACTGACAACTCTGAAAAAGAGCTTGAGCCAGAAGCTGCAGAAGAGGCCTTGGAAAATGGACCAAAAGGTATGGCTTGTCCTATGTGTTCATCCACCCAGACATCAAACTTTAGGCTTCATGAAAAGCAAAAGTCAGGAAGACAAGCTGGATAGCTTTGAGAGCAGTTACATGTGTGTGAGTCCAATGCTTCTTTACTCTTTGGAATCTGAATTGGATGCTTCTAGTCAGAAGACTCTTAGAATACCATGGAAGACCAGGGCTGTGGGTGCAGCACAGTGGATAGAGTGCTTGCCTGGCTGTCATATGCCTTTTGAAAGATTTTAATTCACCTGACACCGTTTGCCTTTTTATATTTACTAACTGCCTAATGCTGTGTAATATATTACATCCAAATTTAGCGTTTAAAACAACCATAAATGGACCAGCAAGATGGCTCAGCAGCAGGTAAAGGTGTTTGCTGCTGAGCCTGATGACCTGAATTCCATCCCAGAACCCACATAGTGGAAAGAGAGAACTAACTCACAAGTTATCCTCTACCTTGAGCTTTCCACTGCCCACATACACAAATAAATAATAAATAATTTTATTTTATGTGTATGAATGTTTTGCCTGCATATATGTAGGTTTACCATGTAGGTGCAGTGCCATGAAAGCCAGAAGAGGGTGTTGGATCACCTGGAAGTGGAGTTACAGATGGTTGTTAGCCACAATGTGGGTGCTGAGAACTGAATCCAGGTCCTCTGCAAGATCAGCCAGTGCTCTTAACCACAATTTTTGTTGTTGTTTTGGTTTGGGTTTTTGTCTTTTTGAGACAGGGTCTTCCTGTGGCCCCAGCTGGTCTGGAACTCACTATGTAGACCAGGCTAGCACCTCATCTCACAGAGATCCACCTGCCTCCATCTCCCAAGTGCTGGGATTGAAGGCATGTGTCACCATGCCCAGCTTAACTGTAGTTTTTAACAAAATAAAAACAAGGGGGCTGGAGAGATGGCCTAGCAGTTAAGAGCAATGGCTGTTCTTGCAGAGGACCTGGGTTCGATTCCCAGCACTTACTTGGTAGCTAACAACCATCCGTAACTCCAGTTCCAGAGGATCTGAACTCTTCTGACCTCTGCAGGCATTGCACGACATAGGTGCACTTACACACATGCAGGCAATACACTCATATACATAAAATAAAAATAATAAAATAAAAAAATACATATAAAATTAAAATAATGAAATAATAATAAAAAAAAAAAAACAATAAAAATGTTTGTTTGAGCACAGTTGCTTCGGTTCAAGAATGGGACCAGTTCAGCAGAATGGTTTTAACTCCAAGTTTGTCATGATGTAAGAGTCAAAACATTGACTAATGCTGTTGTTGTACAAAGGGTCAGCCAGGACCAGAGGATATGCTTCCAAACTAGCTCCTCTCACAAGGCTTACAAATTGGGACTCGCTATTGACAGCAAGTCTCAGGCCCCAAGGAATCCTCTCAGTAGCACTGCTTGAGCATTCTGAGCACACCAGTGACTGGCTTCCTACAGAGCACATTCCTTTGAAAGAGTAAGGAAGAAGTAGCAGTGTCTTTCATGTCCTGGCTTTGGAAGTGGTACAACAGCCCTTCCATATATTGTGTTGGTTACACATGTAAACCCTGCTGTATTATGGGTAGAGACCTTACAAGCACATGAAGTTCAGTGATAAAGATCACTGAGAGCCATCTTCGAGGTTGGCTACCACATATCAGGAATTATTTTTGAGGACTAGAGAGATGGTCAGTGGTTAAGAACACTTGCTGTCCTTCCAGAAGACCCAGGTTTGATTCCCAGCACCCACACAGTGGCTAACAGCTGTCTGTAACTCCAGTTCCAGGGGATCCAGCACCTTCTTCTGGCCTCTTTGGGCATTGCACACACATGGTGCAACATACATACATGCAGGCAATACACTTATACACATAAAATAAAAAACAAAAAATAATTTTAAAAACTATTTTTACACTTGATCTTAGCTAAAAGGCTGAGAAGCAATTTTAAGACTAAAATACCATGTTTCCCAGAAAATAAGCATTTTTTACAGCTCTACCAGCTTTCCCTAGGCAGCTTGTTTATTTGTCAACTGGTTGAAGGTTTTTCTGGGTGCTAGGGCACAGTGCTTAGGTAAAAATAACGGTTATCAAATGTACATTGTAGTTGTAATAAGGACTAGGATGGAGAGAGAATACATTATGATTTGAGAGCTTGTAAATGTGTCGGGAGGGGTGACCTCACAAGTCAGAGGCTTTCCTAAGGAAGGGACATGTGAACTAAGAATGTCTATTACCCCTTCATTTTGGAGTTGGAGTTTAAGTAAGTGGTGTTGGTCTGACATGGTGAATGGTTTATAAAGAACTGAGTTTCAGAAATCTACCTTTTTAGATCAAGTAACAGAAAGTAGCCTCAGAAAAGACCTCTCCTCTTGTTCTCACCAAGAGTTTATACCAGTACTTTTGTTATTGTTTGTTTGATTTACATTTATTTATGTACTTTGTGTGTGTGCATGCATATGCACACAAGGAAGTCAGAGGACAACTTGAGGGAGTCAGTTCTCTCCTACCATGTGTATTCCGAGGAACAAACTCAGCTTATCATACTTGGTGGCAAGTGCCTTTACACACTGAGCCATCTCAGCAGCCCTTGTTTTTTGTTTTGTTTTGTTTTGTTTTGTTTTGTTTTGTTTTGCTTTTGAGATAGTCTCATGCAGTTCAGGATGCCCTTGAACTCACTATATAGTTGACGATGACTGGATTTTGGATCTTCCTGCCTCCACCTCACTACCTCGTTTATGTGGTGCTGGGAATCAAACTCTGAGGTTTGTGAATGCTAAGCAAGCACTGTATCAACTGACCTGCATCCCCAGCTTACCAGTGTTTGCAAATGAAAAGGAAATCCTCTTAGCTGCTCTGTGACTAACTGGAAAATCTACTGAGTGCTTCAATGAGCATTGATGCTGCTCAGAACTCGTTCTCTCTGTGTGCTTCTCCGGCAATTCTAATCTTGTCTAGGTTTTTCTGGGTATTTCTTAGGCTCCTTCAGAAAAGCCCCTAAAACTTGGGATGCTCAGCGATTAAGACTTTTCAACAGATAGAATGAAGTTGAAGTGAAGGTAGAGTGTTGAGAAAAAAACCACAAGATTGTGGATTCCATTTTATTTGAAGGAGTATGATGACCTCTGAGACCTGTGACCTTATTAGTATTGTAACCTGAGACCGTTTTCCTGTTCCCCTCCATCCTTGGTCTAAGCCCTCAGGGTCAGAACAGTGTCTTGCACAGATAGCCCTGTGCATATGTTACAGGGAAGGAACCTTTTCAGCTTTTGTAATTCCTGTTGCCTTTAGAATCTCTTCCAGTGATTGCAGCTCCGTCCATGTGGACAAGACCACAGATCAAAGACTTTAAAGAAAAGATTCGACAGGATGCGGATTCTGTGATTACAGTAGGCCGAGGAGAAGTAGTCACCGTCCGAGTCCCTACCCACGAAGAAGGATCATATCTCTTTTGGGAATTTGCTACAGACAGTTATGACATTGGGTTTGGGGTTTATTTTGAATGGACGGATTCTCCAAATACTGCTGTCAGTGTACATGTCAGCGAGTCCAGCGATGACGATGAGGAGGAGGAAGGTAGGTCCTTAGTCCATAGTAAGTAGCTGCTGAGTTGTGTGTTGATAAAGATGGCACATAGCTCTTTTGTCACCCAGCTTTCTTCATGCTGAATACCTCATGGACAGGGAATACTCTAATACTGAGACATTGGCTGAAAAGGCTGTGAGAAAGACCAGCCTCTTATAGAGGAAGGTCCTAAACATGAATTTCTCTAAATGCCAGAAAAGTCCATTTGGCGGTTTGTTATTTTAATGCTTGCCTAGCATATGTTTTACTTAGAACTTTATATATTGAAAAGCCAAATATGTGAGATCACTTTGAGATTTTTTTTTTTTTTGGTCTTTTTGAGACAGGGTCTTCCTGTAGCTCCAGCTATTGTGGAACTCACTATGTGGACCAGGCTGGCCTCGAACTCACAGAGATCCGCCTGCCTCTGCCTCTCAAGTGCTGGGATCAAAGGCATGTGCCACCACACCCAGCATCTTCTACTTTGAGATTTTTTTGTTTATGTACTTTGTTTTTGATTGTTTGGTTTGGTTTGGTGTTTTGACACGGGGTCTCTGTAGCCCTGGCTGGCCTGGAACTCGCTATATAAACCAGCCTGGCCTCGAACTCACAGAGTTCTGCCTGCCTGTGGCTCCCATGTGCTGGGATTAAAGGCGTGTGCCTCCAGGCCGTGCCTTACTTTGTTTTTGAGACGGTCTTACTTTGTTGCCCAGGCTGCTTTTGAACTGGTGGACTGAAGCATTCTTCCTCCTCTACTTCCCTAATAGCTCAGACTATGAGTGTATGCCACCATGCCCCTGTTGGAAAAAGTTTGAAAGTGCAAGTAAGAATTCTTTGCAGTATATTTCTGATAATAGCTTTTTAAAAAAATTGTATTTAGGATCGGATCCTTGTATTTCAAAGGAGATTATAGGCATGAGCCACTACCACAACTTTTTTCCTCTATTTTTTCTTTTTTTTTTGAGCAGAGGAGGGGTTAAGACAGGGATTTCATGTAGCCAAGGCTGGCCTTTAACTATGTAGTGAAGGATAGCCTTAAACTCTTGACCTTCCTGCCTCTGCCTTCCAAATCCTGAGTAAAATTGTTTTATGTAGGCTGTGGCAATGGCTCAGTGGGTAACAGCACTTGCCGTGAAAGCAGGAGGACCTGAGTTCAAAGTCAGTACCCATGTGAAAGCTATGCATGGTGTGAGTGCCTGTAACCCAGCACTGGGTGGCAGAGACAGGCAGATCCTGGGACTCAGTGGCAAACACGCACACACACACACAAAATAATTAATTAAAATAAATTTCTTAAGCCAGTTGTGGTGGCACATGCCTTTAATCCCAGCACTCAGGAGGCAGAGCAGGCGGATCTCTGTGAGTTCAAGTCCAGCCTGGTCTACATAGTGAGTTCTAGGACAGCTGGGGCTACAGGGAGACCCTGTCTCAAAAAGACCAAAAAATAAAATAAAATTAAATAAATAAATAAATAAATTTCTTTATGTAAAAAAAACTCACCAGAGCACCCTACTTAAAAAGAATTTTAGTTCTTCCCTTTGGAAGCTAATGTTTTATTTTCTCTAAGTAGACAAAGTCAGAGGTTTTGAAAGATAGTAAACTGTCCTATGTAGAAATCAGATTATAAGGTATACTGCTCTTTGAGAAGCTGATCTTAATTTTGTTGCCTGGAAAAGCTAGGACTTGGGGCTTTTATTAAGTGTGGCAGGTAAGCACTTGGTGGCCAGATGGAGAGTGCCCAGCCTGTGAGAACAGCTGGGCACCTTGGTTCAGTCTATGGTACTCACTGCCCTGTGGGGTGAGTCATCGGTGTTTGTTCTTGTTCAGAGTACTGGTAATGTTTCATGAGGGTTTTGAGATAGAGTCAAAGCGATATCTTTTCAGGGGTCTTTTTTTTTTTTTCTTTTTTTTTTTGTCTTTTTGAGACAGGGTCTCCCTGTAGCCCCAGCTGTCCTAGAACTCACTATGTAGACCAGGCTGGCCTAGATCTCACAAGAGATCCACCTGCCTCTGCCTCCCAGGTGCTGGAATTAAAGGCATGTGCCATTTTCTATATGAACCATCAGAGTGTCCCAGGCTGATTCTCATTCCAGGAGATTCAAAAATCCTTAATTACATTTTATATTGCAGGCCCAATTTTGATTTATTTTAACATGACTTTTTCTTTTCTTTCTTTTTTTTTCTTTCTTTTTTTGGTCTTTTTTGAGACAGGGTCTCCCTGTAGCCCCAGCTGTCCTGGATTCACTATGGAGACCAGGCTGGCCTCGAACTCAAAGTTCAAGTGCTGGGATTAAAGGTGTGCGCCACCACACCCGGCCTTCTTTTTTTTTTTTTTTTTATTATGTAGCTCTGGCTGCCCTGGAACTTGCTGTGTAAATGAGGCTGGCCTCGAACTCACAGAGATTCACCTGCCTCTGCCTCTGCAGACTCTGCTGGGATTAAAGGCATGTGTCACCATGCCCAGCTTAGCATTTTGTTTTTAATAATGTTTATTCATAAGTACTAGCTACAGGGTAAAACATTTTCCATAATACTATAAACTAATGAAAGCCAAAGAGAGTAGGGGAATGCTCAAAAACCGAACAGGTTAGCCAGGTGCCCCTACAGCAACATTTGTATGAGGGCTAGCCCTGTGCTCCAAGGGATCTGACACCTCTGGCCTCTAAGGGCTCCAGTACTAATGTGCACATACACAGACACACACTACATGTACACATGATTAAAACAAAAATAAATTTGGGACTGGAGAGATGGCTCAGTGATTGAGAACATTGGCTGATCTTACAGAGGACCTGGGTTCAATTCCCAGTACCCACATGGCAGCTAACAACTATGTAACTCCAGTTTTAGGAGATCAGAAACCCTCTTCTGACCTCTAAGGGCATTGTAAGACATGGGTGCCTTACATACATGTAGAGAAAAGTTCTTTGCTCAGCACTGAGGAAGCTGAGGTAGGTAGATCACTGTGAGTGTGAGGCCAGCCAGGACCACTGAGTGAGACTGTGACTAAAAACTAGAAAGGAAGGGGAGAAAATTTCTCTGCTCTGATTAACGTGATATTCCTGTCTTGTCCATTAAAGTACTTTTTTTTTTTTTTAATGTGTATGCGTGTATTGCCTGCATGATAAGTGCACCAGTGTCATGCAATGCCTGTGGAGGTCAGAAGAGGCTGTTGGATCCCCTGGGACTGGAGTTACAGACAGTTGTTAGCTGCCATGTGGGTGCTGGGATTCAAACCCAGGTCTTCTGCAAGAACAACCAGTGTTCTTAACCGCTGAGCCATCTCTCCAGCCCCGCTAGAGCACTTTTAAAAGGAAATTACTTCATGTTCTGAACCCTCAACTGATGACAGTTTGACAGTTATTGACATTGGAGCAAGACTTGATAAAAGGGGTTGGAGAGATAGCTTGGCAGATAAGAGCACTTGCTGCTTTTGCAGAGGTCCTATGTTCAGTTCCTACCACCTACAACTCCAGCTCCAGGAGATCTGATGCCCCCTTCTGGCCTATGCAGGGTACACCTCCTCTCATGTGGCATACATTAACACAGACACACACACATATGCACATAAATAAAATAATCTTAAATCTTTTGATAAAAGGTGCATTGTACAGTAGTTTAATTCTGTGGATTTAGCAGAACTGGATCTTTAATTAATAATCCACTTTGTTTCATGGATATTTTTATAGGCAGTGGTACACATTTTGAATGACTCAAGCCCCCATTTGTAGAGAAAAGGCATTTTGATTGAAGGCATTGCTATGGTAAAGCAAATCCGATTTGTCGTCTTATATGAGTGCTCTCTACTTTTTCTTTGCAGTCTTTCTGTTTGTTTTGTTTTGGATTTGGTTGTTGTTGTCGTATTGAGACAGCTGACCTGGGACTTACTATGAGACCAGGCTGGCCCCAATCTCACAGAGATCCACCTGCCTCCAGAGTACTGAGATTAAAGGCGTGCACCACCAGCATGCTCACCCTTTTCAATCATTTTTGAGGCAGGGTTTCACTGTGTAGCACAGGTTGACTTTGTAGACAAACTAGCCTTGAACTTGCAACAATCCTGAATGCCAGAATTGCAGGTGTGCTCCACCACACCTGTCTATTTTGCCTTTTGAATCAGGATTTCACACTGTAGCTCAGGCTGCCCTGGAACTCACTATGTAGCTCAGGTTGACTTTGAACTTGTGACAGTCCTCCAGCCTCAGCTTCCCACATACTGAGATTACAGGTGTGAGCTGTACAGGCTTATTTATTTTAAAAATAAACTTTGAAATTTTAGAATAGTTTTACATTTATAGAAAAGTTTCGGGGCTGGAGAGATGGCTCAGTGGTTAAGAGCACTGACTGCTCTTGCAGAGGATCCGGGTTCGATTCCTAGCACCCACATGGTGGCTATGAACCGTCCTTAACTCCAGTTCCAGGGGAATCCAAAGTCCTCTTCTGACCTCTGCAGCATTGCACGGCATGGGTGTACTCACATACATGCAGGCAATACACTCATACACATAAAATAAAAATAATATTTTTTTTAAAAAGTTTCACAGATGATGCAAGGTAGCCGTGTACCTTGCACCCAGTTTTCCCTATTCTTAGCATCTTACATTGTACTATGGTATTTTTCTTAACCAACAAGCCAGTATTCATACTAGTATTGGTAAATACCTCTGTATTTGTTCAGATTTCTTTAGTTCTTAACCTAATGTTCCAAAATGTAATCCATGATCCATGTAATATGAAAGCTTCTCAGACTTAGTCTTGTTTTAAATTAATGGATATTTATTTGTGGCTGTCTCAATGTCTGTCTACTGTGATTTTTTTTTAATTTTAATCTTTTATATCTTAGATATAAGAATAGTCCTTTTAAGCTTCTGTATACCATTTCTAAAATGGGGGAGACTTTCATATTGTGGAAGCAAAAGAAATCAGAGCATGTTGTTTTTGGGTCTTACATGAGCAAGATTTCTCCTGTTGGGGATAAATTAGGAATTCAGTGGCTATGAAGTAGGGACAATAATAATGATAACCCAAAAGGGGTAGGATGCAGATTGCTAGCACCATCAGTGTTTATCACTGGACTTGCAGAACCCAGCACAGTACTTGTTACATAGTAGGTACTCAGATACTCAAATGAATGACTTATTAATTCATTCCTACATGCACATAGTTGAAAAGATTTAAGAGAATTCGTAATGAGCAATTTCTCTAAAAATGGAGTTTCGTTGCTTGAGGCAAACGTAGTTTTCCTGGATCTATCATTTGACTTGTGTCTGTTGTTTCTCACAGAAAATGTCACTTGTGAAGAGAAAGCCAAAAAGAATGCCAACAAACCTCTGCTGGATGAGATTGTGCCTGTGTACCGGCGGGACTGTCATGAGGAAGTGTATGCAGGCAGCCACCAGTATCCAGGGAGAGGAGTCTATCTCCTCAAGTTTGATAATTCCTACTCCTTGTGGAGGTCCAAGTCAGTCTACTACAGAGTCTATTATACTAGATAAAGATGATGTTACAGAGTCTGGAGTCTAGGCTTGGGCAGAAGATGGCATTTAATTTCTTTTGACTTTTGTGGCACATTGGAGTCAGTGTTTACCCTATTGATTTTGGTCTGATGGTTTATGAACTCTTGCTGGGAATCACAATTTCCTTGAGACTCTTTAGCATTAATGCTTTGGGGTTAAAAGCAATTCCTCAGACTCATCTAGCCTTTGGGTGCTGACCAGCAGAGCCACTAGTGGATACTGGAGTTACATGAGCTGCGTGTTAAATATTCACAATCTCCAAAATAAAACATCTCAGCGTTGACCCAATCTGGCTGATGGTTAGTCCATTTCTGCCTGCTCCATGTGTTCTGCCAGAGCTCATAGCTACAGTGCTCTCTGATTGGAAATGCTTCTGTCCATAGTCTATATCAGATGCAGCTGGCTTTGATTGAAGATCACCATTTTTGAAACCTAAAAACTCAAGACTTCACAGATTATAGTAGAGAAAGAAATGGCCTCAACTTGATCTTATCTGAGTAGCCCAGGTTATTTTTGCTTTTGGTATAGCTGTTTAGTTCAGAGTTATGTTACAGAGAATTATTTTCTGAGAGAATTTCAGACTGTTCAATCTCAGTAGATGATTTAAAGTATGAAGATGTACGCAGCACCTCCGCATTCTTCTTAGCAGGTTCCTCACACTCTCAGGCCCTTCTTTCCATCTGCCATCCACACAACCAGTAACAAAACAGAATTAGTTATTTTTGTTTTAATATAGCTCTGGAGCATCTCTAATTGAAATTGTTCTTGGCACAAGGCTTACAGTTAGGGGTTCTGTAAACTCAAATTGGCACCTACTGAATTGAATATGCAAAATCACTTAAATATAACTCACTGTTTGAGGAGTAACATTGCACCAATAGAAAATCACTGCCAGAGACAGTCCTTCTTTTCATTTGTTACTGAGACACAAACCCCACACATTCCCAGTTTGGAATTACATATTAAAGACATTTGGTGATACATATGCTTAAATTTTATAGCTTTAATATGTATTATGTCTTACTGATGGGAAAAGGTACATTTTTGGTTTTCTTACTGAAAACATCCACGTTTATTGCTTCAAATTTGTGTGTGTGGTAAGTCTAGAAATTGTATTCAGAAGGAAGGGTGGTATAGATAGAAAATGACAGGGACAGTATATACTTAATGTTTTATGTTGTTACTGAAAAAGTTGTTCCCATCACAAATCACTTCAGATAGGGTTCCATTGGTTAGCTGCACTGTGTACAGTTCACTACATTAAGGCTCTTTCAAGTTTGTCATGGGCCGAATTTCTGTCTTTTTAAGACCTGGTTTTATACATATCTAACTCTGTTCTCTTTTGGTTGTTCAGAAACTAGATTATTTTCTCCTAAGCAGTACTTAATTTGTGTTTTTGAATTTTGGTTCAGAAGTAGTCTGATGTCTATACTGTTATATCTAGAGTATCATTCGACTGCCTCACAACTCTCCTGTACATATGGTATAGAAACCGCAGAGTTAGGCTTTTTTTTTTTTTAATGAGAAAAATACTGTATTTAAAATGTAAAATAAACTTTTAAAAAGCAGGCACTAATATATATTTCTTTCAGCCTTTGGTTACAAATTTGTCCTTGCATATGTTAAGATAAATTATCTTCTAAAAATACTGTTCTTGGGAACAGTGTATGTTACTTGACATAGCAGTTCCTGTCACGTGTTCATGTTAAACACTTTTGGTTTTAAACTTTTTTATTGCCTTTGGCTGTTAATTAGTACCATACAAGTGCGATTTCAAAAAAGATCTTGAAAGTAATATATTTAATCAATTAAAACGTTTATCTGTAACTTGTTGATGTTTCTGTTAATACAGTTATACTGAAACATTAAAACTATTTCTTCATTTGAATAGGACAAGAAGAAATGCCTTAAATTATCTTTTCTGTTTATGTAGTTAAAAAATATTCAACTCCTTCTGATTGGCTACTTTTTGTAGTGAGTTACAATAGATTTTTAATTGTCCATACTTGATGTGTGGGAAAGTATTGGCTTTTCTTACTGCAAATGATTGGGTTACAAAGATGTCTCCTGTAGCCGCCCTGTGTGTGTATAGCCTGTGCTGTGACGTGGGGAGAAGATGCTGTTTCACAAAGGCTCCTGAGATGTAGACTTGCATCGGGACAGTTGACTGCAGAGCAGCAGTGTTGGCAACTGGTCTAGACTTCTAAAAGGACCACACTTTTACAGGGTGATACAGGGTGATGGGGTGTTTTAATTGTTTTTTTTTTTTTTTCTTTTGAAATTTGGAAAGACAGAGCAAGACGATTTGTCTTATTTCCCCTGCAGTATTGAGTACCTTGAAGTCAGAACAAAGAACAGTTTAGGAGAGCTGTTGATGGAGTCTTATGGAAGAGGAGAAGCAGCTGACTCAGGTCGGCTGCTGATCATCCACTGAAGCTTAGAAGTGTGACAGTCAGCCACCAAAACCGTCTTTATTTTATTCCCAAGGTTTTCTAGCAAGACGATTTGTCTTATTTCCCCTGCAGTATTGAGTACCTTGAAGTCAGAACAAAGAACAGTTTAGGAGAGCTGTTGATGGAGTCTTATGGAAGAGGAGAAGCAGCTGACTCAGGTCGGCTGCTGATCATCCACTGAAGCTTAGAAGTGTGACAGTCAGCCACCAAAACCGTCTTTATTTTATTCCCAAGGTTTTCTCAGTGCAGCCTAAAGACATGTGCCTGAGTGTGTATCTGTTAGGGGAAGAGCAAATCCCCATTTCTAGTCACTAACTCCAAAATGTATATAAATTAATATTGCTGTGCAACCTTAAATTCACTATGTAATTCAGGCTGCCTTGAACTCTTTGTTTTGCTTCTTATTGTGACAGGCCTCAATGTGTGTCCCTGGCTGGCCTGGAACAGAGATCCACCTGCCTCCTGAGTGCTGGAATTAAAGGCTTAGGCCACCACACCCTTGAATTCTTTTTTTTTTTTTTTTTTTTTTTTTTTTTTTTTTTTTTTGTTTAGTGTATGTGTGTATTGCCTGCATGTGTGTAAGTGCACCATTGTTGTGCATTGCCCATGGAGGTCAGAAGAAAGCATTGGATTCCCCTGGAACTGGAGTTAGGATTGTTAGCCACTCTGTGGGTGCTGGGAATGAAGCCTAGGTCCTCTGCAAGAGCAGTCAGTGCTCTTAACTGCTGAGCCATCTCTCCAAGCCCCTTGAATTATTTCTTTTTTTAAATCTTATTTATTTATTTATTTATTTATTTATTTATTTATTTATTTATTTTTGTCTTTTTGAGACAGGGTCTCTCTTGTAGCCCCAGCTGTCCTGGAACTCACTGTGTAGACCAGGCTGGCCTCAAACTCACAAAGATCCACCTGCCTCTTCCTCCCAAGTGCTGGGAGTAAAGGCATGTGCCACCACGCCCAGCTTATTTATTTTTACGTATATGAGTGTATTGCCTGCATGTATGTGAGCGCACCTGTGTCATGCAGTGCTGCAGAGGTCAGAAGAGGGCTTCAGATTCCCCTGGAACTGGAGTTAAGGACGGTTCGTAGCCACCATGTGGGTGCTGGGAATCAAACCTGGGTCCTCTACAAGAGCAGTCCGTGCTCTTAACTGCTGAGCCAACTCTCCAGCCCCAAATTATTTCTTTTTAAGATATATTTATTTATTTTTTGGTCCTTTTTTTTGAGACAGGGTCCCTCAGTAGCCCCAGCTGGCCTGGAACTCACTATGTAGACCAGGTTGGCCTTGAACTCACAGAGATCCGCCTGCCTCTGCCTCCTGAGTGCTGGGATTGAAGGCATGTGCCACCACGCCCGGCTTGAGATTTATTTTTAATTATGTATATGTATATGTGTCTGTAGGTATGTACGTGTGTGTAGATGCCTACTGAGGTCAGAGGTACTATATTCCCCTGGAGCTGGAGTTCCAGGCCGTTGTGAGCTTCCTGACATGGGTGCTGGGGAAGGAATGCAGGTCCTCTGGAAAAGCAGTTTATTCTACTAACTACTGAGCTATCTCTCTAGGCCTTCCTTCCCACCTTCTTCCTCCCTGCCTCACTCCCACCCTCCCTTCTTGGTTTTTTGAGACAGGGTCTTTCTATAGCTCCAGCTTGCCTGAAACTCGCTACATAGACCAGGATGGCCTCGGTCTGCCTGTCTCCGTCTCCTGAGTGCTGGAATTAAAAGTGTGTGTTACTACGCCTAACTCTGCCTAAATTCTTGATCCTCCTGCCTCCCTGAATCCTGGGATCATAGATGTGTGTCACCACACTTAGCCAGTATTAGATTTTTTAGCTCACATATATTTACCTATGATTCCTAAAATATTCTTGCTGATTTTGTAAGAGAGTAGATTATTGTCCTTTTGTGCCCCTTCTTTGATTTCATCATACTGGTATTTCAAGTGCTTACTATCTTATTCACTCTTCACTTGCGATAAAAGGCCGATGCATCCCATACCTCTGTTTTATAGGGAACATGCCATTTGTGAACTGTGATTTGATTAGGTACTTAATTCAGTACAGGAATAAAGTAATAAAGTAGCTGAATTTGCCATAATTGACAGTGCCCCCGCCCCCTTCTTTTTTCTTTTTTCTTTTTTTTTTTTGCCAGCGTCTTTGCAGCCCAGACTGGCCTGGAGCTCCCTATGCAGTCCAAGCTAGCTTGAAATCACCATGATCTTCTGCCTCCTAAGTGCTGGGATTTTAGGCTTGAGCCACCATGGCTGGCTTGACATTGTCTTTTCAATTTAGACAGTCAAACATAGGGTAGAAGTGCAAATTGAAGCATTTAATTTTGGGTTTGTTTGAAGTGTTGTTTGTTGTTGTTTTTTAAAAGCAGAGTCTCCCTGTAGTCCCAGCTGGCCTGAAACTCACTATGTAGACCAGGCTGGCTTTGATCTTACGGAGATCCTCCTGCCTCTGTCTCAGAGTGCTGGGATTAATGGTGTGTACCACCATGCCCACTGTATTTACTATTTCTGAAAAAGCAAGTATACATTGGGCAAGTGTGAAATTTTCTACTTTAACAGCATTTCTATTCAATAATAATTTTTATCCTTTTCCAAGATCATGAATTTGAGAATCTCCAGATGAAGATGACACACTTATTATTGACATGGCAAAATATAGAAATGTGAAGGTTTTTTTTTAGTGTGTATGAGTATTTCACCTGTATGAAGTTTGTAAATGCATCCATGCATGCAGTGCCTTCAGAGGCCAGAAGAAGGCATCAGATCCCTAGAACTGGAGTTACTGATGGTTATTAGCTGCCATGTGGGTGCTGGGAACCGAACCTAGGTCCTTTGCAAGATCAGCCAGTGCTTTTAATCACTGAATCATCTGGCTCACAGCCAGCTAGAACTCCAGCTCCAGGAGATTTAACACCTTTTTCTGACCTCTGCAGGCACTCACATACTGGTGCATGTACATATATAAACATACATATAAATTTAAAAAATTTCTTTTTGGTCTTTTTTTTAGACAGGGTCTCCCTATAGCCCCAGCTGACCTAGAACTCACTATGTAGACCAGGCTGGACTTGAACTCAGAGATCCACCTACCTCTGCCCCCCGAGTGCTGGGACTAAAGGCATGTGCCACCACACCTAAGATTTATATTAATCCCAGTACTGGGGAGGCAGAGGCAAGCAGATCTCTCTGCGTTTGAGGCCAGCCTGGTCTACATAGCAAGTTCCAGGCCAGCTGGAGGTAGGAAGAGACCCTGTCTGAAAAAGACAAAATAATAATAAATCTTAAAAAAACTTCTAGGTTGTCTTTTGGGATACTTTGATCATATGTACAGGTTGAGTAAACCATTCCTAAATGCTTGGAACCCAAAGTGTTGCTGGTTTCCTGTTTGTTCGTACTGAAATGCTTGTGTGGACATAATGAGATGTCTTGGGTTTAATATGATGAAAGTCATGTATGCTTCATGTGCACGTCATACTTATAGTCTGAAGATACATTTGTTCAATAATTTGGGTCTGCATTTTGACTTGACACATCAGTGCTCAGAAAGCATTTATGATTTCAATTTTCAGGTAGGGATCAGCCTGTATTGTTATTGTATTCTTCTGTATAATGGCTCTTTGGTGATCTTTCTGTTACATTTAGATTACTTTAGATTTTCAGTTATTATTACAAGTGGTGTTCCAGTTATTTATTTGTCCCCATAAGTCTGGAAGTTTTCCAAAAGTGAACCAGTGGCACCAGTGAGATGGCTCAGTTGGTAAAGACACTTGCTGCCAGGCCTGGTGACTTGGATTTGATCCTGGGATCCACATGGTAGAAGAGAACCAGCCTCCATGGGTTGCCCTCTGACCTCCGTGCATGTGCTGTGCCACACACATGCATATACACATAATAAAATATAAAATTTCTTCCTGGGCATGGTGGGACACACCTTTAATTCCAGCATTCTGGAAGCAGAGGCAGGCAGATCTCTTGTGAGATTGAGGCCAGCCTGGTGTACATAGCAAATTCCAGGCCAGCTGGGGGAGGACTGTGTCTCTTTTTTTAATATATATATATTTTTACTTATTTTTTATTTTATGTATATGAGTGTATTGCCTGCATGTATGTGAGTGCACCCATGTCGTGCAATGCCTTGGAGGTTAGAAGGAGGTCTTCAGGTTCCCCTGGAACTGGAGTTAAGGATGGTTGATAGCTGCCATGTGGGTGCTGGGAATCGAACCCGGATCCTCTGCAAGAGCAATCAGTGCTCTTAACTGCTGAGCCATCTCTCCAGCCCCAGGACTATGTCTACAAGCAAAACAAAACAAAATATTTTTGCGGGGGTCTCTCCCGCTCTTCGTGGGTCGTTGGCCACCGGTCCA